CATCTACTCACCTTAGTAAGAAAGATATTAAGTAGTTTCAACTGCTTTTCTGAAGGTTCTTTCACCTCTACCTCCGATTACTGATTGGACTTAGAAGCAGTTTCGACTTTGGAAAGATATATCGAAACCACTTTGAGGAAACGCCGTAGAAATTCAGTTTCGTTCAATCTGAAAGGTCGGTCGGTGTTTTCGGGACTTTAAAGACCTTATCCTTAATAAATTTGAATAATTGTGTAACTGAAAGCTGGGTAAGATCTTCTTCTCTCTAAGAAGCTTCTGTTGACACGGGTGAAGCCATGAAGAAAGTCCCGGTTTTTAAAACATAGAGGAATTGAAGGGATCACAACTGCTCACTTATGTTATAATAGGATGAGAAATAACTGCTTCTTTCAAGGAATATCCCATATATTTTATTTCAATTTGATTAGTCCCATGCCTTGTTGATATATTTCCCCATCGACTCGGTGCTGTCAACGCAGGATCGCGTGCTGGGTCCACCATTGCCATTGTTGTGTGTTGCGTGTATGAATAATGTTTCTATATGCTCAATGTTTTCAGTAGCTTTAAATGATGAAGTAATTGCGCTATTTTCACTTCGATTATGTGAGGAATTCGTATGTTTTTCCTCATAGGAAATATTACAGATTCGATTGCATTGTTCTAATCGATGTTTGGGTGATAAGATCTATGTAGGGAAAGAACATGTACAAAGCTATGAACTTTGTTTATACATATTCAATTTACTTTGTATTTTATAACCTGAAAACCATATAACAATTTTGTTCTTGTGGAGGGTTAAGAATATTTGGTGAGAAATCATATATCAAATCCAAAGTGATATAATGTAGTGTATCATTAGGTGTGTCATCGAGTTCATATTTTCATTCCACTTTCTATAAAACAAGTTACTCACCTAGCATTATTTAGCTTAAAGTATGCACCAAAAGTAACTCACTGTGTTACTAAAGTGAGTAAGTTTCAAAAATTTTCTCAATCAAGCATAAAGTTTCAATGGCATTTCGTTTCTAACATCATGCCAACTCTAAACATATCAAACCCCCAAACCTTTGTTGTAGATTGTACTAGGGCAGTGTCGTTCTCTCCGCGCGTCTGTGTGCGTGTGTTATTGTATGGGTGTGTGTGTGTGTGTGTTAGTGTGTGTTCCGTTATTTATTATTGCAATACTCGTGACCCGAGCTCAGCTCAAACAATGTAAATTAAAATTCCACACCCGGTCCGGTCCAGACAAAGGTACGCCATGTCAATCCCTCCCTTCTTTTGGATCATAAATATGTATTTGATTATTCTGAAATGACACTTGCTATTGATGTAGTGAAACAATGAAACTGGTTACTATATTTGTGTGAACTAAAAGTATTAACAGCACATTTTATCATCTAATTATCTGTTATTATATTATTTAAGTGATACATTCAAATTTTACGTAAACGGGTTAAGGACATTTTACCAAATATAAATATAGGCATTTGGCACGTGAAATGAAGCTTAGAGTGTGTAGATTTGCCGAACATTATTGGTATGGACGAATTTGTTAAGGGATTTGTCCCACATGCCGATTTCTTAAGGCATATTCCTAACGTGCTTCTAAACTGTAAATGATTTAATTTATCTAATCAAACAGCTGGACAATGCAATTAACTGGTGTTTGTTTATTTACATGATAAAGATGTTTGTGGTGCTTTTTTATAGTTGTGTTATTTAGTAAACGGGTTATGTTTGGTTAAAAAAGGTAGTAAAAGTTTTGTAGAGTATTGAGCACAGTTTTATAATTCATATACAGTAGTAAGCTACACAATTGATGGATTATGGTAAAACATCTCATTCATGAAGCATCAATATCAAAATGTTATTGCTACACTTGAGGTATGTAGTCATATTATTTTGGATCGATTCACATCAAAAGTGGGGGCTTGAAATTACCCAAAGAAGGGGTTTACACTTTCAAATCAGTTTATCTTTTTAAATTAAACCACACAGTTGCTATATTTTAAACACACGTCACTACCACTTATACTGTGCATGGGCTGTTTTATGTTATGTCAGTAGACAATCACATACTGTACTATGTCCATATCTCTTTAGACACACTTCCAACTAAACCTTCATCTGATATTTGCATTATACACAAAGCTCCAGCTAAACCTTACTGTAAAAGTAAATACCTTACTTAACCAGTAAATAATCATAAAAAGCGAAAAGACTTACTCGATCAATGGACAATTGCATCAGCGGAATCCTTATTGATCTTTAGATACATTTTTTGCTAAACTCTACATATTTTTACAAAAATCTAACCGAACCTGACCCAACAACCTTGCTTAATCAGCGAATAAACAAAACACCAACAAAACCTTTCTCGATCAATAGACAATTGCATTAACTGCAGTCTTACTGATCGTTTGATACATTCCCTGCTAAAACTTACATATTTTTACAAAAATCCGACTGAACCTTACCCAACAAGTAAATACTTTGTTTAGTCAGCAAATAAACATAAAATGCCAACAAAACCTTAGCCTACTCGATCAGACAATTGCATTAACTGCATCTTTACCGATCTTTAAACGCATTCTTTGCTAAACCCTACACAATTTTGCAAAAATCAAACTGAACCTTACCCAACAACCTTGCTTAATCAGCAAATAAACATATAACGCCAATAAAACCTTACTCGATCAGTAGACAATTGGATTAACGTCTTACCGATCTTTGCACACATTTTTTGCTAAACCTTACATATTTTTTGAAAAATCTAACCGAACCTTACCCAACAACCTTGCTTAATCAGAAAATAAACATAAAACGCCAACAAAACCTTACTCGATCAATAGACAATTGCATCAGCTGAATCCTTACCGATCTTTAGACACATTTTTTGCTAATCCTTCCATATTTTTACAAAAATCCAACTGAAACTTACCCAACAACCTTGCTTAATCAGCAAATAAACATAAAACGCCAACAAAACCTTACTTGATCAGTATACAATTGCATTAAATGCATCCTTACCGATCTTTAGATACATTCCCTGCTAAACCTTACATATTTTTACAAAAATCTAACCGAACCTTACCCAACAACCTTGCCTAATCAGCAAATAAACATAAAACGCCAACAGAACCTTACTCGATCAGTAGATAAACGCAAGGCACGCCAATTTTCGTGACGGCTGGCCAATAAATGAGCCTTGTTGTTATCGCGACTTGACGACAAACCCCGTATCTCGCCCACATCTGGGAAATTGAGTGTGAAAGTCTACCATTGTATTTACCTTCGGGTAATTGGAATATAATCCAATTACCTTGGTGCTCTTCTTTCAGTGATTAAACTTAGTGGAATATGTAGGATTAGTTCGGAATAGCAAACAAGTTTCTGGTTATCTAACTTAGGAAACTCTTCAATATAATGTTTATTTTATTTATTTACTGACACATTTGTAGGCGTATCACAAGACTAGAATTTGGACAAAAACTTTCAAATGCCAATACCAATAAAAAACCAAATAAGAATTTTCTAAAATTATATATGAAATATGTATAAATAAAACTAGTATCTACATAAGCCTCAGGTTAACTTACACATCATTTTTTAAACCCCTTGAGAAATGCCATGAGTCTGGGGGATGTAAGGTCGTGACAAAGTCAGACATCTGTCGACAGAACGACTCGACACTTTCATATTCAGAGTTGCCAACTTTCCGAATACAAATTAGGGAGGAAACTTTCATAAGTGCTTAATATTTGAGCGCAGGTGGCGACCCTGTCCCGACCGAGCCGTTCTGATCGGACTGTTTACGGGTTTGGTGTTTTAAAGTATATTTTTCGTTCGTAATCACTGTGATGTTAAATTTATCGTCTTAGTAATAAGCTATTAAGTTCTGAGCTCCTGTTTTATTTGTTTGCACGTTAAAAAGATAAATGTACAAATAGCTCTAGAGTTGAAAAAAAATTGAATCCTTTACTTCTCTCTTGAAACAAACAATTTAAGTTGAATTAATATAGTTTTCTAAAAACTGGTCGAAAATCAATATGAGCTAACGACCATGGATTAAACCCTTCCCTTTTGTAGGAAGAATACAAAAAACGTCACTGCAAAATAAAAATAAAATATTAAACGAAATTACGTTCCATTTATATTACGGAAAAACTAAAAGAATGCGTAGGATGTTTGGATTTTTTAAGTTAGTGGCTTTTTGGATGTCGAGACGGGTGTGAACAAAAGGCGTCGGTCCCCGAGGAGGTTGGCTGTGTTCTCTGTTCAGTCGCGCAGCTGCCACTGTACTCAATAATGTACTGGTTCACAATACATACACAATCACACACACAATCACACACACACACACTCATGCAATGTGGCAACTATGTGAAATGTTGAATGCTTTTAAAACTCTTTGTTCTAGCTTAAACTTTTTTCTTATTATTATACTTTTTCCAAGCATACAGGTCAAACCTGTTTGGTTAGTATTGTGTAAGTGCTATGTAACGTTTTTCTATATTGCCAAGTTATTTTTAAGTCGATCTTTTTGTTCGTTGGTTTCGTAGGTAATGTAAAAATAAAGTGTATTAAAATTTAATGATGACGTTTGTTAATCGTCCAAAAAAGTTGTAAAAATTTGCTAAACCATTTAGTAGTTATGCCACATACATTTCAACTTGTTCTTTTGCGTTGTGCTGTTTGTCCTTTGTCCAATGAATTAGTTGTATGTTTTTTTTGTTTATAACGCCATTGTACATCTTAATTTTTTTTTTAGAAAGGTCCTCGCTAACTTGTACATACGACCAATTTGGTAGCTGGACCAAAGTCATGTCTATCGGAGAGTATCATTAATTGATGACTGAACGACAAATGGCTTACATATAAGTAATTGTCCTGAGGATAAAGATAATGTCTATCTACAAAATCTATGCATCCCCGAATCCAACGGATACGAAAACCAAATAAATCTTTTACACACAATAATAAACATAATTTATGTGTATATGACGCAACAATATTTAACTTTAATTTACAATAAAAAAACCACATGACATTTCTTGACTACACCATCGCCTTATTTGGTCTAGGACCTTCGCCTTATTTTTTTACAAGGACGGCGATGTTTTGAGCGAACCTTCTTCTTCTTAGGCTTACACATTGGTTTCTTCTTTTTAAAGATCATCTTCATCAACTTTTTGATAAGCCCTGGCTCAGGGCGACATTTTTTCCTGATCTTCTTGGAGCTGGATTTCTTGGGTGTAGACCTAGCTCTACAACCGCAACGGCTGCTGCCAACATTACAACAATAAATTTTACTTATGTTTCAACTAAGGGTTCTCTACTTCTACATTATTACGATCCAATGGGGCCAGATAGTCCACTTTTGATTTTAATAGTCTTCTTAAAATTTCTGATGGAAACGAAAAACTAACTCAAATATTAATACAGTTAACCCCTTATTCTTAAAAGAGTACACAATTTGAATGTGAACTCAAAAAATCAAAGCCTGTTTACTAAAACTATTGTTGTAATATGATAATTTTCAACTTACCCGTCAGTTTGAACGTCTCTAGTGTGAAGACCCCCTCGTTTTCGACCAGGATATCTATCGATATCTTTCAAGAACTGCCTAATCATTTCTCGCGTCACCTGAGCAAAAAGTATACAAAATTAAGTCTACCAAACCGGTAACCGATTAAAAATCAAGGAAACTACGAGTGAACTTAGTTTAGACATAGTTTAAAAAATATTTTCCTTTCTAACTACTTTACCTCGTGTGCTAATTACACTTAGGTAAGCTTCAAACATTAGTTTAACTCTTTGTTTTAACAGCTTTCATTTACGTAACACTAGTCAAGTGGTACTTTTAGTACATTCTCATTAGAAAGTTATTTGTTAAAAGATACTAAGTCGCTCATTTATTCGCTGCGATTTTACTAATAGAAAGCACTGCGAAAAATAATACAAATTCGAACTTAGTCCTTCATATGTGATTGTTGCTGTATTAAACAGTCTCTTCAACTTTATATTTGTGATATGATGGATTGTTAATTGAAATCATTGTAAGGGATTGGGCGAAGGGGTTTCTTTACAGAAAACGGTTCTCCTCACTAGTGAATATACACAAGGGTGCTCCTGTTTAATAATTTAACATAGCTTGGTAACATTTCGTCTTCGAGCATTCTAAAGTTTAAAATTTAATTAATATGAATGCAATTTCAGAAAAATACGTACCGGTACCTTCTCTTTGAGACGCATTTTCTTCAAAGTGCGACACATACCGGCGACCGCTCTACGGTTCTTCAGAGGACAATGGTTCTTATGGAGAGTCATAATACGTCAGATTTAAATTTCAAGTTGGTTTATCAAATAATTTAGAACTATTGTAAATTTGTATCCATGGTAATACATGTGCATGATTTTCTTGACTGTAGAAGTATTTTACTTTATTTTAGCGTTGTTCATTCTTGAAAGTATTAATCTGAAAACTGAAAAATGCAAGTCTAAACTGTCATTCAAGTTCGAAATGTAAAAGTATGCTTTTAAACTTGAATTTATATATATATATATTTTTTTTTGCAGATGGAGAACCGATAAAACTTCCCGAAAACCTAGAAAGTCTTCCCAAGGCAGAACATTTCCCCACCCAGCGGCATCGCTGGAACACCAATGAGGTAAGAGTTTACTATTCACATGTTGAGACTGAGTTGTGTTATTACTTGTTACGAATAAGTGACGCAACATTCTACAATTGCGTTTGTACTTTGCGTAGACTCATGACGTTTTATATGTGCCTAGCCTAAGAAAGCCAAGAGTCTGAGCTGAATAGTATTTGTATCTGTCAGTGATACTCAAAATTGCAATTTTTACCCACTTCAGGAAAACTAAAGAACCGATTAAGGTTAAAATAATTTTACTTTATTCGCCAATTGGTAAAAAGCTCTCGGGCTATTTAAAAATAGCCATACGTTATTAATAATAAAGTAAAGTGTTATCAAACGTCGTTACAACTCCTAACACAATAATGGTATACATTCGAAATAAGAGGAAAGATACTATATTATAATAAAAATCACTATAATCCTTATCATTGTAATCTTAGGTAACTGTTCGCAATCGCAGACAGTACAGTTTTGACAGACGAATGTTGGTTCCACGTTGGAAGACGACGCGAAATTGTGAGTTAGAGTCGAAGGGATTCGGAAATGAAGTTAAGGTGGAATTTTGGAGGTCGGGATGGATATTTACGAACAAGTTCACTTGATAGAACTTTCAGGGTAGTGCGTTTTGCTGTTTATTTATTTATTAAAATAAACAACACAATGACTATCGTTACATTTTTTAATAGTTTGTAGAATATTATTGTTATATGGAATCAATATTTTTTACTTACAATTAATTTTTCTTTTTTATTTAGTCGCGAATATTAATCGATGGTGGTGCACCTGATTCGTTTAGTCATTGACAGTTGCCAGTCAACATTGTCACTTCGTGTCGTGTTATATAGGTCAGTAGTGAGTTTGAGATCGCGAGTCGATATCATTAATAATTGCAGTTATTACATACAACACCTTTAGTCGGGGACTACAAATGTATCGGAGATGAAATGGCTTGTCACGATACTTTTCACGTTTATGGGGTTTGTTTATTATCACGCATCCATTGTTATAATTATATTATTATTTGAAAGTTTGACATTTTTTATGGTTTTATTTTTGAAACTAGCTGTTGTACCCGTGCTTTGCAACGGGAAGAGGACACAAAATAGAAACATTTTAATCATTATCTCTTGCATATAATAGTTACAGATCCGCCAACGCTTTTAGAAATAAAATTCAACTTTTATAGCCTTAATAGAAACGTTTAAGTTATGACTTTTAAATCTGGTAAGTAGTGGATACCACCATTTTGGTTTTGATTAATTTAAAATCTTGTGGATGCTGATATGAGAAAAACTGACCAAATCTTCGAGTAAAACTTGAACATGATTTACCAGATTTTCCTTCATCTCCCTTAATTACACATCTTTTAATTTATTATTGACATTTTAAATTTCAATTTTGAAGTTGCAAAAATACTAATTATTAAATTTAAATATCTTTATATTAAACTCTTCTTTATATTAAATCACAAATCCTTCCATCTCCAGTTTCTTCACTCACAATTAATAAATCATTAGCAAAACTAAGTCAGCTGTTATAAACTTTAGAAATATTGCTGTGCCTTATCAATACAGTCTTTTGAAATATTAAAGAAACTATATCCATAGGTACTATAAAAAATTTCAAACAAATAATTTAGCATTAAAGACAGCAGACAAAACTAATATGATTATCAAAGCATCAAGGACTAAAAAATGTAATAGCAAATACAGAATATGTTTCATTGCATCTCTGATTCTACTATACAAAAATATCAACAAACAACTTAATATACAAACCAGTTCTTTTAATCAGTTCCATCGTCCATTGCCTTTACATTTTCACACTTACCATTAAGTAAACATAGTAACAGATATTTCATTGATTTTAGAAACAAAAGAACACTGTGTACTGCTTAGTTTTATGATATTTTCCTTGGTTTAATTTAATCAGTGGTGTGGCAAAACTCAAACAATAAATTTATCAAATAAAGTAAAATTTGAACTGAAAGCTATGTTAAGATAAAATAAGAGTATTTTGTATTACCGCACATATACAACAGATTTTAGAAAACAAAAATCAAAGACATTTTAGTTATTGATCGTATTCTTTAGTTTAATTTAAGCATAGGCTTAGCAACACACAATAACTTAATTTACCTAAATATACATATAAAAAACAATGTGATGTGCAAATTATAGTTAATCTAACACATGTGAAGCAGTTTGAATTTATTTAAAGTAGCCTCCAAATTCATACAAAACATCTATAAATTGTAATTTTCATACTGTTTCCATGAAAACATATCAATAACATTATTTTCACTTAAGATTATTAACTTAAGACGCTTTAAAAAATCCAAAGCAGAGCCGGAGTTGATACAGCAACGGTTATAAATTTTTTTTCTATAATCATTGACATAGTTTTAGAATAAATAATCCATGATAAAATGTTGGATCAAAATAAACCTACCTCATATTTATGGAAAATATTATTTCTTTGTATCAGCTGTCTGAAATTGTGAAATAGGCAGTTTAGCAGTTCTTCTTGTTTACATTTAAATGTCAAAGCAAATGTAAGCAAACATTGTTAGTGTTCTCATCACAGCCATGGAGACCAATCAATATTTACTTTTAAAATGTTCACCTAAGAACTTTTAAAACCAAAGAGGCAAAGCCTACGGTCAGTATCGAAATGTGAATAGTCCTATAATGGTCCTTGGTATGGTAACTATATTTTTGTAAAATTTAAGCCCAGTTAGTTCAGTAGTTTTTGCACCTATTAGTAATACACATACAGACAGACACCATTAGATTTTTATATAATAGTATAGATGTGTATTGTGTGTAGGGGCGTGGGTGGTCTAGTCCTGGTTTTCTATATTGTAGTTTTTTGCCCTGAAGTTCAAGGTTCTAATTCTATTAATCACGAAAAGCATTTTACTATGTAAACACGCCGTGAAATGATAGTCCGAAGCTCAAATTAGGAAATGTAAAATCACCTGTTCAGTTAAACTATAAGGGGAGGAGAAAATTAGGTTGATCGAAGAACTCTCTTAACTGAAATTATAACAACAGTAGATCTTGACTTTATTAGAGATAAACTTGAAATAAGCGCCCCCCCCCCCAAAGTCACCCCGAAAAGTGTATATTTGAATCCTTTTACTTTACGTACGGAGAAATTATCTACATTCTCAAAGTAACTATTATTTTAACACAGTACGGTACTGTAGGCCTAGTAATAACTTTTTTTTATTTGAGTAATTTACAAATGTGATTATAATTATTCGACACTTTCAAAATCAAATTGTTATGCAGAACTACGTCTAATATTTTGCAAAAACCTGCTAACCTTTTACAACATTACCTTAGTTGAAAACAAATCAGGTTACGCCCCAGACGGTATCAAAACACGAAAACCGCGCCGGATGTGCGAAATTGAGCGGGAACTTACATATTGGCGGGAAGCATGGCAGCGGCGACACAACGTTTCTGTCGTCTGCTCACATAAAGATGTTACTTGCTTTACAACATACAAGCGCAGAACATTCAACATGGCAGCTTACGACTGCTTGTCATGTCATGGGCAAGCTTTGGGTATAGCTTAATTTGTTTATAGGTTTTGTCAAAGTGTTGGTAGAGTTTTAAACCAAATTATATTGATGTAGGGTTTTGGTAGTGTTGTGATGAACCTAGTTTTTGCGTCAAATTATCGTTGCGATAAGTTTTTTTTATGGCTTCACTAATCTGATTACCGATTTAAGTAAAGCATATTTACACGTTTATCGAGCGTAATTGTGTTATTTCTGTTGTTAATGTTCGTTGTGTCATACCTTAGACTATTAACTATTAATTAGACACTCAAACCCCCCTCCACCAAAAAAAAAAAAAGTATTTATGACTGAAAATACTTGATGTCCTCCATCGTCAACCATTAAAACACAACTAGTGATCGTCCTGTGGTCGAAACTCGACCAAAAATAATTAATGTACAGACTTCTCTATTTTCTCCCCACACTGTAAATATAACATGTGATTGGAATTTCTTCCATTTGTTTTGATTGTCTGTTTACATTTTGTTGTTATTTCGTCACCATCATGGCAACCCATATGGTCCATGTTAATTTTTTGAAGTTTTCAAATTCATTTTTTGTTCTTATTTGTGAGCCTATTTTAATTTATAAAGGGATTCTGCACATCTACAGGAAAATATCTTTCCAACAGTATGCGTAGATTTTCCCTGCGATGCACACAAGCTGAGAAAAAAGGTTTTAAAGAAACATGCTTGCCTATTAATATATAAACGAGAGGTCGTCCAGTGGTCGAAACTCGACCATAAATATGTAATGTAAACTTACTCACTTCTCTATTTTCACCCCACACTGTAAATAAAACATGTGATTGGAGTTTCTTCCATTTGTTTTGATTTTATGTTTATATTTCGTTGTTATTTCGTCACCAGCATGGCAACGCATAAGATCCATGTTAATTTTTTCAAATTTTTAAACTCATTTTTTGTGCTTATCTTTGAGCCTATTTAAATTTATAAAGGGATTCTGCACACCTACAGGAAAGTAGCTTTCTAACGGTATGCGTAGATTTACCCCACGATGCACACGAGCTGAGAAAAAAGGTTTTAAAGAAACATGCTTGCCTATTAATATATAGATAGATAGATACATAGTTTTAGTAGTGCAGCACACTCTATGTGAGGGGCCTACAAACTGCATTTTATTTGAGTAAAACTTGTTACACCTGTTGCTTAAAAATGTTGTGTCCAAAGTAAAATGGTAATACAGAAAGTGTTCTTTTTAGCCATGTTTTTTTATTGCTATACTGTCTTTTACCAACGCTGGGCTAGAATTAGAAGCTAAGGCGCGGATAGGCAAAATGAGAACTGCACCTATATTGCGTCACCGAATTGCAGGCACTTTTCATTACCAATCCTAATAATAAGTTTACTATTAACTTTTTTGTTTTGAATTTTTATTGTGTAATTCGTTGACCATTGTTGTCTAGTTAACTATTCTCTCA